CCCCCACTCCCCACCCCCACCCCAGCGCTGCTGCTGCCCAGCACACCCCCCTGGGCACTGCTGCCCAGAGGCCTGAGGGGGAGGGGGGCCATGGGACGTGAGGGCCTGCAGCCTGCCGTTTGGGAAAAGAGGCAGCGGAGGGCAAGGAGGGAGCAGACCAGAGCTGCCCTCGGTCTGGAATCCTGGACAGGAAGTGCACCCCCCAGCGTGGAGGGGACGCCCCTCCAGGTGGCGCACAGGGTGGAGGGTTCTGAGACTTGTGTCAGAAAGCCAAGTCCGCCTTCCACCTCAGGGCCACCACCTGGCCGGGGCCAGAGAGGACATGGAGCCCGGAGCCAGCAGGTTCTACCCTCCCCCTCTATTCCCTCTGAGGCAGAGTCAGCAGATGTGGACAGACACCAGGGTTAGGTCACACGTCCTGATCAGCAGGCTTGTGGGTGGAAGGAGGAAAATGGGAGACAGAGAGGTGGCGGCTCCTGGCGGAGGGTGACACGTGTGTGGGCCCCCCAGCCCAAGGCTTCCCCCAGGTCCTTCCTGGAGCTAACGGCAGAGTTCCAGCAGACTATTCATTCTAGCCCCCAGCCCCCCACGGCGTGGGGGAGGAGCCGGTGCCCACAGCCTCCCCAGTCCCCCAGGAGGCCTCGCAGGCAGCCCATCCTGCTTCTCCAGGCCCCACCCAGCCACCAGCCACCGCCCAGCCCGTCCACAGGTATCCTCACTGTGTCATCCACATTTTGGAAAATCTCCTGGGCCTCCTCCAGGTCGCAGATCTCCTCCATGCACTCCCGCTCCAGGCTGCCGGCACGCAGCTCCTCCAGGAAGGAGTTGGCGCGCTTGTGTATCCGCAGCACCTGGTGGGCCCGCTCACCACTGGAGAACACTGAGTCTGGTTGGGGGGGAGTGGGCGCTCACCACTGGAGAACACTGAGTCTGGTTGGGGGGAGGGGGTGCTCATCACTGGAGAACACTGAGTCTGGTTGGGGGGAGGGGGCGCTTACCACTGGAGAACACTGAGTCTGGTTGGGGGGGAGTGGGCGCTCACCACTGGAGAACACTGAGTCTGGTTGGGGGGAGGGGGTGCTCATCACTGGAGAACACTGAGCCTGGTTGGGGGGCTCACTTTGGAGTGGGGGCCCAAGCTGGATGAGCCTGGGAAGGACTTAAGATTCCAGGTCATGACTCTCCCCTCCTCTGCTCCCCCCTTGCAGAGGTGGCCGGACGCTGGGGGACAGGAGAGGTGACCATTCAGACCTCCTTTGAACCTCAGCCTGCGTCGGTGTGACCCTGAGCCAGCGTCTTCCCCTCTGAACCTGTGTTCCCTCCAAAGTGAGGCTGACTTTCTGTGTTGGGTAAATTGGTCCAGAAACGAGCACCTGGCGCCACGTGCCACATGCGGCTGTGCTCTGGCAAAGGTAAACCAGCCTCGCTGTTCTCTGCAACCCTGTCCAGGCCCCACGTCTGCGGGCATCGCCCTCGCATTCCCCGTGGGTGACAACCCACCCAGTGAGGACCACTGCCTGCCTCTGGGCTCCGAGAGGGGCTGTCTGGGCACAGGGCGCTGGGGCGTGTAGAGGAGGAGCCGGGGAGAAAATGCAAAGGCCGGGAGAGGAAGCTGGGCCTGGGTTGAGTCTGGACGGGTGACCGGATGACCGGATGACCGCGCGGCTGTAGGCGGGAGCTGAAGGGCGAGGCCAGCGGGAGCGGGGAGGAAGGGCCCCTAGGCAGAGAAGCAGCTCCAAGGGAGGCATGAAGCCCTGGCCAGTGTGTTCAGTGGTTAGTGTGTCGGCCTGTGCACCAAAGGGTCTCGGGTTTGATTCCTGGTCACATGAGGGAAGGAGCCAATTGATCTCTCTCTCTCTCTCCCCCTCTATTCCCTCCCTCCCTTCCATTCTCTAAAAAATCAGTGGAAAAAATATCCTGGGGTGGGGATTAACAAAACCAAAAAACAGAGGCACAAATGCCCGATCTTCCTGAGGCCTCCCCAGCCTCCTGCCCTCCTGTTGGCTATGGGGCGGGGGGGGGGGGGGGGGGCAGGGTTTCAGGACAGGCTGAGGGGTGTGACTGATACCCTCGGCCTGGCCTAGGGCTTTCCCAGCTGCGGGAGTGGGGAGTGAAGGGGGAAGGCTCAGGAGACGCTGTGACCACGGCCCAGGTGGAGGAAGGAGCTCCAGGATGTACCCTGACCGGGCCTCCCTGGGCCCCAGCACTCTGCCCGCAGCCCGCTCAGCCGCCCTCTCATCCGCCTGCGCTCAGGGGGTGGCTGAAGGCTCACAGCGGGGTCCTGGGGAGCGGGGAGTGGTCTTACCAGGACTGACGGGTGAGCTGGAAATTCCCCCGGCCAGGAGCAGGAAGAGGCTGGCCAGCCGCCACATTCTGGAACTGCTGACACCTGTCTGAGGAGGACTTCTGAGCCCACAGCCCACCAGCCCTGCTCTGCAGTTCCCACTGTGCTGGTGTCAGGCAGAAGCGGGGCTCCGGGCCACCAGGCAGACGCCCCCTGACGCCTGTCCGCATGGGCTAAGGGCATGCCACCTACTCTGAGGGGAGAGGGGGAGTGGGAAGGGGACTCCGCACAGCAGACGGTGGCAGGCACCCCCAGAACGCTCATGCCCTCCCTCTTCTGGGGTGAAAGTTCAGAGTGGGGCCTCTGCCGCTCGCCGGGCCGAGTCATCGCCAGCACCTGTCAGACGCCAGCGGCGTGTTCCGAGCGTCTGTCCGGTCAGAGGGCAGGCACCAGGCCAGACCGCGCCCTCCAGGTGCCATCCCAGCGCCGGGGCAGCAACACTGGGCAGGGACCGAATGGCGCCACGCCTCATTTTCGTCATTTGTAAAATGGATAGAAAACTGTACTTTTGCCTGATAGGGTTATTGTGAGACTTAAGTGAGTGAACTCACATAAAGCTCTTAAAATATGGTTTGCACGTCGCAAATGCTGGGTAACATTAGCTGGTACTGTCTCAGGTACCCCAGACGCAGGCTCACAGCCACCCCAGACGCAGGCTGTGGCGTCACTCCATTTACGGAGGACACGGAGGCCCAGGGGAGTGAAGTAACGTATTAAAACCCACTATCCGGCGGTGCCAGAGCTCGGACTTAAGCCCAAGCCCCAAACCACTAGGTGCCCCGCTGGAAGCCAGGGAACCCTGCCTGTCCCCGAGACCCAGAGGTAAGCCCCTGCCCAGGCTGCCCCTGCCAGGCCCATTCCACCACCACCGCCTGAGGCTGGTTCTGATATCTGTTCAGACCAGAGGCCCCGGTGGGGCGGGGGGTGGAGGGTGCAGGCTCCATGCTGCCTCTGGCGCTGGGCCTGGCCCCCAGGCCCTCAGCTGATGTCCACTTAGCGTCTGGGAAGAAGGCTGTGGAACTGGGCGCCCACCCTGAGGACTGCCAACCAGCGCCCTGGCCTGGCCGGTGCCGGTCCTGATCTCCCTTTACCCCAAGCTCCGGGCACCCCTCCGACCGGGCTCAGGGACTTCTCCGTCAGCCTGCCGCCCTCCTGCCGCCCACCCCACAGACTTGCTGGAAGGGGACTTACTGGGGTGGGCCGTGGAGAGACCGCAAGGCCGCCCTCCTGCCGCCATGACAGCCTGGCCTCTGGTTAATCCGTAACTGCAAATATTTGCCTGTTGGCCCTCAGTGCCCGGCCGCCCTCTCCACAGACAAACAAACTAGTTCCCAGCTCAGCAGCGCCCTGTGCCCGAAGCCCACCTTGCCGCCAGCGGTGCCACCAGGAAGGGGGAGGGATGGCCCTTGGACGCTGCGCACAGATGTGGACGTAGGTTAGCCTCCTGGGTCTCGCAGAAGGAGGGACGGTGTCCCCGTTTGCAGATGTGACATTTCACCCAGAGACACTGCAGTGCGCCCAGAGCAGCGCTGGCAGTGACGCCAGCCTTCCCCGACCGACCGACCGACGGGGTGCCCACGCTGGAGGCCCTGCTTCCGGGGCCTGTACAAAGGAAACTGCTGATTTTACGGCCATGCTGCCAGGCGTCTGAGTTTTGTGATGCAAAACCTGGAAGAAGTGCCTCTCAGGTCCCTGCCACGTGGGTGCCAGGCAACGGCAGTCGCCCTGTAACTGCCCCACAGCTGCTGGCCGTCCCTATGACCTGCCTGGAGGACTCTCAGAAGCCCTGTCCCTTGCCCGCATTCATGGAGCTGGAGGTGGCAGCCTGGCATAGAACCCAGTTCTCTCTAGCACCCGTGGCCCCTTTGTGAACAGGTGAGAGAGATGAACAGACTCTGGAAGGCGAAATGGATCAGCTCCTGGCCGCCGCCTGCCCGAGGGAGCTTTGGCTGGCCGCATCTTGTGAGCACTCACCAGACACCTGCAGCCGCCTCCCTGGAGGACCGCGACCCCCTTCCTTTGGTGGCTGCACAGGGAAGTCACTGGGTCCCAGTGTCACTCAGATCCTCTCCCCGGGCCCAGGAGGCCTCAGAGCCCTCCTTCCACACTGAGCACTGGGCCCAGAAGAATGTGAAGCCAGTGTCTGGGCATCGACATTTGTTTTTTGTTGTTAATCCCCACCCCGCTCTGTTTCCACTGACTGAGGCTGGTTCTGACATTTCTTTAAACCAGAGGAGGGGGGGTGAGGGGTACCAGGCTCCAGGTGGGAGGGGGAGGGTGCCAGGCTCCAGCTGGGGGGGGTGGAGGGT